GCGGGACGGGCCGCGGGGAGGTGGGCGCGATAACCGACGCCCTCCGCCCAGCGAATGATAATTCGTTTATCGGGATTTTCGTGCCGCGAAGGGGTGAACTAATCTAGAAGCTGTCTCGCGCGAGCGTGTGCCCGGAAAGCACGGCGAACGTAAGGTTTTCCCAGAGGGCAGCAGGTGCCAGGCAAGTTGGTACCCCTTTTTGAACCCTGGCCAATTAGGCTTCCGAGCAGAAGTGCACCGCGGGTCGCATTGCACGGCGATAGGATGATCGAGCGGTTCGATGGTATCGGCGCTCGCGTGCCAAGATCATGGTCGGGACACTCGATAGCCCGATAAGTAATGCACCCAGATAGGATGACGGAGGGTACACGGCGCAGAGGAGAGGGAGAAAGATCCGACCAAAAGGAGCAGGAGAAGAGAGAGGTGGAACGATCTTATCGCGAGGAGGTACCTGGGCCCGGGCAATGAGCGTCCACCAAACGAATGGAACGTAGTCGTCCGGCTCTCGCGTGCACGACGAAAAAAGACTCGCGGGGTCCGGCGTGCCTCGACAAATACTTTTTAACGATATCGCCGCGTCCGCCGGGCGTACGCGATTGCCCCGGCTACGAAATTCGTTTGCGTCCGGGGGAACAGCCGTTCGCCTCGACCGACCAGGCATCCCTGAACCCTTCCTCCTCCTACCTCGTCAAGGGACGAGAGAGACCCTCGAGAGCCCCAACGCACGCTCGTTTGTTCGCTCGGGGATTCTAATTAGCTACAGCTAATAATCGCGGCGCGCGGAACCAAACGAGTTTCGCCGATTCCTCGGCCGGCGACGACCGTCGATAGTTCCTCCTGTCGCCCGGAAACCGCGAGACGCATACCCGGAATACCGCACTGACCGCGCCGAGGCGGTTCATTTTCTACCCCTGTATCGCTTACGCCATCTCTGGGGACTTTGCATTATTGTTTGTTATGGTATGCAACGCAGGAGGTTGTTAATCTTCTTTTTTCTGTCACTTTTGGCAAGCTTGAGGGAGTTTAGGATTGTTGAGCATGGAGGTGGTCATGTGGTTGTTGTTTTTAGGCACATCTTGTGCAACAATGTTTTATTTGCCATTGGGAACCTATAAAATATATGAGATAGAAGAAGTTATTGATGTGTGATAGTTTTAATAGAAATTGGGGAATTACCTAATCATAGGATTTGGGTCTTGTACAGGAGAATATCATAGTTTTAATAGTAATGAGGTATATTACCAAATGATAGGATTTAGATCTTGTAGAGGAGAACATAGATCATTAGAAACCTACAAAATATAGAAAATATATGAAATGGGAACAGTTATTGGTATAGTTTTAATAAAAATGAAGGACATGACCAAATAATAGGACTTAAATCTTGTATAGGAGAACATAGAACCTATAAAATATATAAGATAGTAGCAATTACTGATATATTATAGTTTTAATAAAAATTGAGGGGATTACCAAATAATAGGACTTAAATCTTATACAGGAGAACATAGAATTTATAAAATATATAAGATAGTAGCAGTTACTGATATATTACAGATTTAATAGAAATTGGGGAATTACCTAATGATAGGATTTAAATCTTGTACAGGAGAGTATCAAGAGTTAATTCTACAAAGAGAAGAGGTTAGTTGAAAGTGATTGGTAGTCTGTTAATTGGAGAAATGAATATTCTATGAAGATACTTGCAAATATGGGGAGCAAGTATCTTTCAGATTCTAGCTTCTTCTGCAAGCAATTCATTAAAACTAAAGTTTGATATTACCAACCAAAAGTAAGAATATGTATATTAATATCAATAAAGATTGAAGGAGCACAATGGTGGACGAAGCTATTATTGATGAGTTGAGGTGCAAGCTTGAATGCACCCTTAATTGCCATGCATTTCTAGTATAGTATCAAAATTTGAAGCCCTCATAGTTGTTCTGCTCAAGCCTCAGCCTCTTCTAGCAAGGAATCCCCTAAAATAAAAAGTAAGTATGTATATCAATATGAATGGAGATTGAAGGAGAATAGAATAATTAGAAGTGCTAACACAGTGGTGGATGAAGACATTATGGAAGGACCCCCAATTGCTATGCATTCCTAGACAGGTAACAAACTTTGAAGTCTCTATAGTTGTTCTATCCAAGCTTCTGACTTCTCTTCCAACTCATCCACTAAAATTAAAAACAACTATATTAATTAAAATTGAACCTCAGCCTCTTCTAGCAAGGAATCCCCTAAAATAAAAAGCAAGTATATTAATATGAATGGAGATTGAAGGAGAATAGAATAATTAGAAGTGTTAACACAGTGGTGGATGAAGACATTATGGAAGGACCCCCAATTGCTATGCATTCCTAGACAGGTAACAAACTTTAGAGTCTCTATAGTTGTTCTATCCAAGCTTCTGACTTCTCATTAATTAAAATTGAAGGAGCACAGAGAAATCTAGAGAAGCGTGCGAGAACACAGTGGTGGATGAAGACATTATCGAAGGAGTATTGAGATGTAACTTGGAACGCACCCTTAATTGCCAGGCATTCCTCAATAAAATAGCACAATTTAAACCTAGAAGAGGAATTTAGAGTCGTAGTCTAATTAGACGAAGGTAAATCGCGGCGTATCAAACGAGTTCCGCCTTGTCTCGATCCCGGAGGATCAACGGAGCCGCGGACCGCGACAGACCCCGACCGCGTTCGCTTTGTATCAGGACGTCGTTTGATCTTCGACCACGTGGCACGGTTGGGGTGGCTATATAGAGCCGTGGTACGCGGACGGGGTCGATGCGACTAATTGCCAGCTCAGCGACCACGTCAATGAAATCTACTCTGATTCCAGGCGAAGTAACGGCGGATGAAAAAGGACAACAAAGTGGACAAAGGGGAACCATGCCCCCAGGGGGGACGTAGAGGGGGCAAAGTTGGTTCCAAGGGGGAGCTAGGTGCTCCCTTACGTCCCGTAATCGCGGAACCGACTCGGATCTTCGACTATTATATCGGAAAGCGCTGCTAATTGGCTACGGGAGAATCGATTCGAGGGAATTGATAACTCAGCTCGCGATAAGTATTCGAGCATTTTCGAGTCCCAGGTGCCCACGGCACCAGCCCCCCTCTGGCGTCTTTGTTTTCCGTGGATCCAGATCTACCCGGTGGATCCCCGGTGGACTGCGCGCGCGCGCGGAATTGTACGGAAATCGGAGAGACGCGCACGGTGGGGTTATGTAGGCGGAAAGCGGAGAGTTAGGGAACGAGATAAACTTCAATTATGCCGATTGAGCATCCTCTTAGGGGGGAGGATGGCAGGTAGGGGAAGCTCCTCCCACTTTTCCTGCCACGTGATCGAGAGCAACCTTCCTTCCTTCCTTCCTTCCTTCCTCATTCTCAAGATGGACGAACCAGGCCAGTCGACGAATCTTCTCGCGCGGCGGGAAACTCAAAATTTCGTAGACCGCGACGCGCGAAACGATCCGGGGAGTACCTGTTGGTCCGCGAAGAGGCGTTTTCAGCCTCCGAGGGAGAGAAAAAAAGTAGAAAAGGGAGGGAGGAGGGGGGGCAGAGCGAGAGAGAAAAAGACGGAGAGAAGTGGGAGACGCGGAGAAGCACAGGCCGGTGCAGAGGGCCTCTCCCTGTCCGCGTCTGGTTTTCTCCGGCGCTCTTCCCGTCCTTGTCCCGTGGTTTGAATCTCAGGGTGGTGGTGGTGGTCGTGTCCGGATGGTGGTGGTTATGGTGGGGAGGGTAGTTCCCTATCTCTCCTTTCTCTCCCTATGGGAGGGCGAGGAGGGCCCCCGTAGCCGCGCACTGCGCACCGAGTTCATCATAGACAGACCGATCTCCCTGACAGCTCCTCGTCGGGCTTGAACGGAGGTGGAATCATCAGATTCTGTCCATCTCTTCTTCGGCTCGCAGTGGCGGGACAACGAACGCGGAAACGCGTACGGGGATAACGGAAGTGATAGCTCTCTCTCTCTCTCTCCTCCTCCTCTTCTTCTTCTTCTTCTTGTTTACTTCTTCGCTTTTCATCCCCCCCCCCCACCCCCCCTTAAAAAATTTTGTTTCTCGATTATTTCTCCGTTTTTCTCGACCTTGTTCGGGGAAGTTTGCTATTCGACTGTTTGCGCGACGAAACGATAGGTGGTTACGCGCGCGCGAGAGGCTAGAGAGAGACGGGACGAGACCAACGGTGGAAGAGGAACACGAGCCGAAGGAGGGGGACGTGTGCGTGGGAGGAGTAAGAGATCCCGGAGGGCGACTTTTCTTTTATTTGAGCTTGACACTTCGCCGTGAACGCGCGCACACACCGGAAGTACCCGGAGCCGTGCGTCCCTGGGGCGGTCCTCCTCTTTTTCCACGACGAGAGATCGGGAGCGGAATGACACGGTACCTGGGGGACCTGAGGGTGCCCCTGCCCGCGCGTAACCGTCGTTGAGAAATCCACCGAGTCCTCCGTAAAACTTGTGCCTCTCCGTGGGACGTCGACTGACCGGGAAACGATGTTGTCGTTGCAACGTCCGCGACGACCGCAGTGTCAGTGAAGTACCGGGTATTTATTCCTTTTTTTCTCCGTGGACGTGGAGAGACAGCGTCGGGAACCGAGGACCGTTCATCGAGATACTGTGTCCCCGGGGTGTAGTGTTTCGACCCCTCGAAGCGGCGAAACTGGAAGCTCTCGAATCCGTACGGAACGTCAAAGCAGAAGCGCCGGTGCCCGGGGCGAGGAGGAGTCCTCGACGCGTGCCAGGCGGCTGATCACAGGCACCGCGCCCGGTGGAGACGAGAGACGGAAGAGTAGGAGAGGGATTCGGGGAAAAAAAGAAAGAAACCCCCGTGCAAGGAAAACAGAGAGAAAGAAAGTGAGAGACGCGCGGCGTCGTCGAGCGAGGGGTCCTTCCGTTCGGGTGCTAGGGGTGTGCAGCCCTGGACGAGGGGTCGCACTCGACTCTTTTTTTAAAGTGGGCAAACCGCGCAAAGAATAAGAGACGTCCTCGGGGCGATGACAGGATGCCTCGATCAGGACGCGTCTACGAAGGACCACCGTCTAGGATCGCCACGAGGATCGGGCCCACCATCGCCCTGTTGCTGATTCTCCTCGAGAATCGTCGGTAAGTACCGTCCCTACGGCTAAGGCGCGAGGAAAACTCGGTTGTACCGAAGTATAGTCGGCGAAATCGTCCGAGAACTCGAGGGAAACCGAACAGTTCGAGCTAAATGTCATCACATGTCTTGTAGAATTGTTTGACGATGGAGATTTGCAATCTTTTTGAAGCTAAAAACTAGAGGAGAAGACTTTGAACTGTTGTTATTATTAAATGAATCGAACTGGGTACACTGGTACTAGAAACTCTATCATACTGTTGTAATTATAAAATGAAATAGAATAGGCACACTTGTACTACGAACACTATCATACTGTTGCTAATATTAAATGAAACAGACTAGGCACACTTGTACTAGGAACACTATCATATTATTGCAAATATAAAATGAAACAGACTAGGCACACTTGTACTAGAAACACTATCATACTGTCTAATATAATTTTTAATAGCATATGTCTAATAAAATTTTTGGTATCATATGTGTAATAGAATTTTTAATATCGTATATCTAATAGAATTTTTAACTGTAACAATTTGCAACCTTTCTCTCACCAAAAACTAGAGGGCAAGAGTTTGAACTGTTGCAATTATAAAATGAAACAGAATAGGCAGACTTGTACTAAAAACTCTATCATACTGTCTATCATTATATGTCTCAGAAAACTTATACCAGATTCCTTTCTCAAACCAAAAAATAGAGGACAAAACTTTGAATTGTAATTATAAAATGAAGCAGAATAGGTACACTTGTACTAAAACTCTATCACACTGTCTGTCATCATATGTCTCATAGAACTTTTAATAGATTTGGTAGCTTCCTCACACTATACAATAAATGACAAGAGTTTGAATTGTAATTATAAAATGAAACAGAATAGGTATACTAAAAATTTAATTGCATTACTGAAAGCAAGAAGAAGATAAGTTCATATGATCATTTGCATACAAGTAATAGCCCACATAAATGACACAGGACACCTGGTATTATCATTCATATTTGACAACAGGTGACACAATTAATATAAACCAACAATATCAATAATTCAACATGAACAATTTATTCATATGTACAATTACTAAAAACGGAGATATTCTATTACATTAACGCAATTATTTTTACTTGTGTTTGAACAGTTCTTTTCGAACTACCTTCTATTGGTTTTATCGAGTTCTTGGATGAAATAAAAAACAAGAAAATCGAACACGCTTTTTTATCTCATTCTTCTTACATTTGTTATTGCTATGCACTGGTGGCATCTCGCCGCCCGAAAGAAATCGTTTACGTTCGATTATCACCCGGCAGCGTCTCGATCGAGTATCGTGTTCAGGGATATTTATTTATCTGTAGACCACGATCGAGATTCGTGGAATTTAGAACGTTAAACGCGATCGTTCTGCGTTTATGTAAATAGGGAGCAGGTGGAAACTTGAATAGAACGGTACTGAATTTTTATAAGATAATATCGAGATGTATAGAGCGTTTGCACGAGTGTAGAAAGGGGTAGCAGTAGTCAGGGTGCTAGCATAATTTTTTGAAGGAATTGAAATCACCAAATGAGACGTTTGAAGCAGAGGAATGCAACTTAAATACCAAGTCAACTGTTATTGCAATTAGATGAACCAAAACTTTGAGGAGTAAATTGGGGGTTTCCCCCAATTTAGGGGAAAAATTAAAATAGACTGAAGTAAAAGACTAACTACAAGTACCAATTTCAGTAAAAAGAATTCCAAACATTGTTAACAATCTTCAAATATTAAATCCCAAATAAAATCAGAAGGTACATCTCTGATGGGTAAATATTTTTCTTCATCCCCCCTGAATAGCAAATTAAAGGATCAACGAATCTCTCTTGGGTGCCCCTCATACACGAGGGATTGAAGCTTCATTATCTCTAATGTACATTTTGTCAATAAAATAAAAAAGAATCTGAGTTAATTAGGAATAAAAGACATTCCATGTTAAATAAAATCCAAGTTGTCTCGAGTCATGCCCCCGAGCAATTGAAGGCAAATCATCTGCAATGCTAGAAACTGCTTTCAAAACTACTCACTGGCAAAATAAATATTTTACGAGCAATTTACATAAACGCAAATGCATGGGAATATTCACTCCGACTGAAACAACAATGTAAACGGTTGGATACGACCTCGTTGAGTGCTTTGTTTTGCAAAGTTTAGCGGTATAATGGTCCCTGCATCGGGGATCTGTTCGCGAGACCATCGTCGCCTCGTTGCTATGCGGACTGTTTCATCATTGTTTACGATGTCGTTCTAATATTAGCGAATATCGAGTGGCGGGGCCTTAAATGGCCCATACGTGGTCAAGATTCACTGAGCACTTGCACGTAGGCTCATAAAGAACATCAATAAAGAAGACATATTCTATGAGGATCATGAGGATCAGTTAATTGAATATTAAATTAAATAAAATTCAATCTTGCTATTGTTGAAAAGAATCTATTAATCACCTCCTATCAATCATTAAAGTTCCTTCAGAGATCAACATCATCCAACATCAGATATCTACAGAGCTATTTGAATAAAGGCAATCAGATTGTCAGATACCATTTTTCACATAAAATCCAAACTATCTAGGTCCATTATAGTTCTCTCTATTTATTAACAATAAATCTACCCCTTCCACTGGCTCTATTAGTCACAGTTCATTCAAAACTATTAAATACAATGGACTCTTTCAGAGAGTTCAAGGCAGTCAAAAAAAACGATCTTGCGGTCAATATTGATAAACCGTGATGTAACGAGGTGTGTCAGAAGGAACACATCGTTTCCTACACAATCACTGGTGAAATCTAACTCACAGTCTTGAGTGACAAAAAATTCTCAAAGGGTTAAGTCATTGTGTGGTATCCCCCCTACGTATCAAAAGCTGGAGGCATTCGATCAGCACACTGAATGCCAGGAAGTTAATGGAAGGTGACTAGAACGATGAAGACAACGACCAGAGCAGAATAGAGACTGAAAGATGTCATGGAGGCAAACTGTCGTGTCGAATTTCGTTGAGAAAAATTTACGAGCGCGTTGATGGCGAGACTCTTCTCTTTCCGCCTCTTGCGGAAAGAATCTGTCAATAGAGACGCTTCGTCGAGGCGGCGGTCGCATCGACGGCTCCGAGCCAGAGCACAATGACTGAGTGCAAATAGGCCCTTTCAACCGGCTCCGTGGCACGAACAACGAACGATCCCGCTGCGATCTTCATTATGCCTCCCCGATCTCGCCCGAGCACTGTGTCGAACACCCTGCACGCTCTAATCGAATCTTTCTCTCGCCAAAGAATCGCTGGACCGTCCGGTTCGTCTCGCGCGACCGACATTCTTTGCCAGCGTGATCGCCAAAGTCCGTTTTCCGGAAGCCTCGACTCGCGAATCGGGTCGAACAGTCTCTATTCACACTCTGGTTCCAGCAAAAGGAGTCCTACAAGTCTTGGGAGGGATGTCAAAAGCAGAAGCATCCCCTAAGATTACAAGCATTGGATACTACTTGAGATCTTATGAGATACTTGCAGCTAGGAATTATTCTAATTGCAATTTCTGAGGCGGTGTAGGATTCTATCGGTGGCTACAAGAACTCAAATAGTTGATATGCATGCAAAGAGTCTCTGTTCATAATCTGTTTCTAGCAAAAGGAACCTTGAAAGTTAGTCTTGGGGGATGTTAAGAGCAGAAGACTTACTACCTGAGATCTTACATTGACAATATTTCCACCTAGAAATTATGATAATTGCTATTCCTTAGTTGCTATTTAAGAATATGTCTGTAGGATTCTATCAGTGGTTTCAAAGCTCCTTGACTTCCACTGTCGCGAGTTGGGGCAAAGAGGTATTTCTATTCACACTCTGTTTCTAGCAAAAGAAATCTTAAAAGTGCATCTCGGGGGATGTTGAGAGTAGAAGACTACATCCCCCAAGATTTCAAACATTGTAAAGTACAACTTGAGACCTTACAAAAACAATACCCATTCAGAGGTTATTCTAATTGTAATCTTTAAAACCGTGTATTGGTGATTCCAAAGCATAAATACTGGGATTGCAGGCCACTAACACCTTAAAAGTGCATCTTGGTGGATGTTTAAGTTAAAAGATCACATCCCCCAACATTCCAATCATTGGAAATTGGAACTTGAGACCTTAAAAAGTATTTCCATCCAGAGATTATTGTAATTGCAATGTTTAAAACCGTGTATAGGTAGTTCCAAAGCATAAATATTTGGTTTGCAGGCCACTAACACCTTAAAAGTGCATCTTAGGGCATCTTAAAAGCAGAAGATCACATCCCCCAACATTCCAAACATTGAAAATTATAACTTGAGGCCTTACAAAGTATTTCCATCCAGAGGTTATTCTAATTGCAATTTTTGAGATGTTGTATTGGTGGTTCCAAGGGTTAAATATTTAGATTGCAGACCACTAACACCCTAAAAGTGCATCTTGGAGGATTGTAAAAGCAAAAGATTACATCCCCCAAGATTCAAAACATTGAAAATGATAACTTGAGACCTTACAAAGTATTTCCCATCCAGAGATTATTCTAATTGCAATGTTTAAAACTGAGAATCGGTGGTTCAAAAGCTTAAATATTTGGATTGCATGCCACTAACACCTTAAAAGTGCATCTTAGTGGATGTTGAGGGTAGAAGACTAGATCCCCCAACATTCCAAACATTGGAAATTATAACTTGGTACCTTACAAAGTATTTCCATCCAGAGGTTATTCTAATTGCAATTTTTGAGATGATGTATTGGTGGTTCCAAGACTTAAATATTTGGATTGCAGGCCACTAACACCCTAAAAGTGCATCTTGGGGGATTGTAAAAGCAAAAGACTACATCCCCCAACATTCCAAACATTGAAAATTATAACTTGAGGCCTTACAAAGTATTTCCATCCAGAGGTTATTCTAATTGCAATTTTTGAGATGATGTATTGGTGGTTCCAAGGGTTAAATATTTAGATTGCAGACCACTAACACCCTAAAAGTGCATCTTG